GGGTCTAAGTCTCCCACCGAGCATTACTAGGGAAATGCTCCTTCAAGACCCGTCACAAGACCCTCCTCTTCGACTGTGCCTTCGGTCACCCTCCTACCCCCTAACCTCCCCGCCCTCCTGATCCCAATCACCAACTCGGGTGCAGTTCCCTGACTGTCCAGCGCTTTGGGACGTCCTCCTGACGTGAAAGGCGCTGTACAAATGTAAATGTAATTTGTTGTATGTGATAATAATCCTCGCATTTGATACAGCGCCTTATCACGTCTTCGAGACTTCTCAAAGCGCTTCACAGAATACACTGTATATTTTGTCCTGTGGGTCCGTAACTTTCACTGCTACCAAACACTGAAGACTTACCTCCCATTGAGACAGATTGCATTCAAACTCAAGTGGATATGAAAGGCTTAATATCTGACCTTTACGTTGCTGGTAACTTTACCCCCTTGTTTTTCTTTCAGGTTGCTTCCTTGGGTTCCACAGAGGAGAGCGATGAGAGCGTCATCCAAACACTGAAGCAGGCGCTCTCAGACTTTCATCAGCTAATAACTGCCTTCTCCCTGGCATTTAAGCACGAATTTGACATGCAGAAACCAGCACCCCAACTTTGCAACTTTGGACCACTTTGCCAATCTGTGCACCAACTTCTGACATCCTGCATCAATGTAAATCGTCTTCTCGTTCGCTGGGTTAATAATTATTACCGGGGGTAATCATTCCTTCAAAAAAAAATAATGATAGCGATAAATTGGTCACTCAATCCACAACTGTTTGTGGGACGCTGCTGTGCGCAGTTGGCTGCCGTGTTTCGCCCACAAAAATATACAGTCACTACGTTTTACAGTATATTCTGTGAAGCGCTTTGAGACGTCTCGAAGACGTGGTAAGGCTTATGTCTTATGTGTTTTGTCAGGATTTGACACAATCCTTAAGTAATATGTAGTCGTCGTGTTTGTACGTGTGAGAAAAACAGATTATAAAGCGCTATATCAAATGCAGGGATTATTTGTTTATATTGCAGACTGAACAAGGCCTGTTGCCAATTACACCGATATAAGTTCGACAGCAAAAAGGAAAGTGGGTGCGAAATAATCATTAAAATGTTTGTTTTACGGATTGCCTAACGCTTTTAATTGAAAGGCGATTCAACTAAGTGCAAGTTTTGTCATTGAATGTAGTTTTGTGTACCTCTTTGAGTAGGAGCTTGCTGGGCTGGCAGAGGTAACAAACATGGAAGGGAAGCTGGAGGCGATCGTGAAAAACCTGGAGGAAGATGCCATAACCTGGGACGGTGGTGAAGTCGCTACTCTGGGTAAGTGGAAGGGATCTCAATGGTCAACACTCGCCTGTTTACTTAATACGGAAGAGACTTGAGACGACTCAACGAATGCAAGGCTTATCAATATTATTATTATAAAATCTTTAGGTCTAAAATGTTATCACGTTTCACCCACACTATTACAGTCGAATCGCTTTACAGTATATTCTGCCTAGCGCCTATTTGAGACGGCTCGACCACGTGATAAGGCGCTATATCAAACCTCCGCTATACCTCTCCGTCAACTCCATCCCGCAATTCCTTCGCCTCGTTCCCTCTCTTGCCTCCTTCAAGTCACGACTCAAGACCCTTCTTTTCGACCGTGCTTTCCACCTCCCTCCTACCCCCTCTACCCTCCCTCATCCCAACCCTTGCCCCCCTGATCCCCGACTGTTCAGCGCCTTGGGACGTCCTCCCGACGTGAAAAGCTCTTTACAAATTAAATGTTGTCGTCGTCATCGTCATCTTAATCTCTCCGGGAATATTAATCTTTCTACCTTTTTTCCCCCCTTGCCACCCTCTCAATCCCAACCCCAGTTTCAAGAGTTGACAAGATGAAGAAAAAATACGTCGGCTATTTGGATGTTTTCCAGTCCTCTGCCGAATGAACTCGCAGGATGTTTGTATCTGTATGTATAAATGTATATATGTGTATTTTTTGTTTTATTTTTGGACTCTTACAAAGCTACTCTCACCTGGCTGGCTCTTTGAAAACCAGCATGGGGAGAAAAAAGGACCTTGACACAGTTTGCTACCTTTTATTCACATAGTTTTGATTCTGTTCTGTCAATATTGTCTATTAATATGTCTAACTTAGACCTACATTTTGTATCTACTTGCACCAGCAAAATGAAATATGCTGTGTAGCAATATGAAGATCTCTTAAATTCCTTCAGAAAAAAATCGGTCACTCAATCCACGACTGTTTGTGGGGGACGCTGCTGCGCGCAATTGGCTGCCGCGTTTCGTCCGCAAAATATACGGTCAATTCACTTTACAGTGTATCCTGTGCAGCGCTTTGAGACGTCTTGAAGACGCGATAAGGATTATTGTTGTATATTGTATTAAAGTCGATGAACGTTTTTCCATTTGCTATTTCCTACTCCCGATGTACGGGCTCGAGAAGACTATAGTGTTTTAACTACAGTCAAGAGTTTGGAGACCCTTTGAGAGAGCATTGCGTTGTAAAACGGTACAGCACAGAAACGGGCCATTCGGCCCAACTAGTCCATGACGGTTGTCGTACTCCGTGGGACTACGGGATGGAGTTCCAGAGGGCGGCGGAGGTGAGGGGGTGGGGGCAGAGTGGCAGAAGATGTGAAGGGCGCCATATAAATCCAAGTAGTTGTTGAATTCCCAGCTAAAGTTGAGCAAAACCCATTCACTCCTCAGCCTCGCTCCCCCTCTCTAACCTGCTGACAATCCGCGGAACGGCACGATAACCATTCGTATTGCGCACTCGATAACCTCCCTCTTCCCTTCTCAAGGGAAGCGATCGAATCGGGGTGGGTGGTGGGGGGGGGGGGGATGGAAACTACCAGTCGCCTTCCTTCTTTTGGGCGTCTTCCGCAGACCCGAGGCAAGCGGCGGAGGCGTGGTCCGATGCTGAAACCTCTTCCTCGGGTCTGCGTGGAGTCTCTTTTATTGGGGGGTGAGCTCGAGAGTTTTGTGCGTTCGTTGGCATTGCTGCCACATCAGCTGCGTGATGTCACAAAGCTCGTGTCCACAGCAACTGCCTCCGGACCAAATCAACCCGGGACCCCCGCCAGCCCGCACACACACACGCACACGCACACGCACACACCCCCGTCTACCCGAGACCCCACCCCTGTCTTTCTTCCAGCCACCAATTTCACGAGATGAACGGCGCCGCCAACGGCAGTTCCTCGACGGACGTGAATCAAGAGGTGGTGGTAAACGGTCAGTCAACCTGTCCCGAAAAAAAGGCTTGTACCGAGCCTGGTGTGCGTGCCCGCTTGTGGTAGTCCACTCCCTCACCCCCCCCCCCCCCCCCACCACCGCCCTTTCCCCCTCCCTCTTGTTGATCTGAAAGAAAAATGTAATGTTATTTTTTGAGTCCGCCATCCTCTCTTTAACCCGATGTCGTTTTCAAATCCCTTCACTCCCTCCCTGACAACTCCCTACCTCTCCTCCTCACTCCCCAATCCATCACGACTCTCCCTCAATCCCTCCGCCTTGCCCTCTCTCTCCCATTTTTCAAGTCCCGCCTGAAAACCGTCCTTTTCAACCACGTTTACAGTCACCTCCCCTTCCCGCGCCCCCCCCCCCACCCACCACCCCGGCTCAGAGTCAGGCTCCGCCACTGTTAAGCGCTCTGAGACTTACACTGCGTGGGGGGGGCGCTATATAAGTGCAAGTTGTTGTTTTTATAGTGAGCCTCTTGCTCGCTCTGGTAGCAATGTGACATTGAAAGGAACCGTGTGAAAGTAACACGTTTAACGTTGGGTGACTGCTAAACATGTCACAGGTTGGTACTGTGCATTGCGGGCAATTGATGCCTGAAGTTGTCAGCAAAGTGCTGGGCAGTCGTACGTGTGAAAACTTGCTGAAGATGACCCACCAGGTGACAGCAGGCATTATTGAGCTAATATAACACAAGCAGTGAAGCTCGCTGTCCCTGAGCTTTCAACGGACGCCTGAACTCCCACCAAATATCCGGCAAAAGCTGCGTGGTGTCGCTCTGTAGGATTACAGCAGCTGAGTTCACAGAAGCCCCACCACTTTCCAGCCTTCCCTAGAACTGTATAGACTCCTTACTGACCCGCCCCCACCCAAGCGCTGTCGAGCGCTCTGGGACGCTGTGTAAATGCAAGTAGTTTTCACAGCTCGTCCCCCAAACCCTCCTAATGAGGCAGATCTATTCCTTCGAGTTTCGTGTCGGCAGCTGATTCCCAAGGGCTGCCGTTGTCAGGTGTTCAGGATCAGTAGCCGAGTTTGAAGATTCTCCATGTAGGTCACGTCCCTCAAGCTTAATGCTTCGGTTTGTTTGCCGGGAGTTGTAGCTAGAAACGCTGGCAAGTTCAGGAGATGAGCGCATTAAGTTGTCAGATCTTGGCCAGGGAATGAAGACAGCTCCTGGGCGCTTAGTCATTTAGTTCCGGAAGTGTAGTTCACCCTCGAAGCCAAAGCGTCGTAAGTGTGTTGTATCTTCACACGCTTTCCCGGCCAACGCCACATCGGTAGATGTACGTCACCAAAATTAGCCCTCGCGCATCACACCTTCCCTTTCCGGCACTTCAGGCGACAATGAATGATATCGTTTAACTGCTTTGGCAGAAGACAGATTCTCGTACTGTTTGAAGCCGGCCATTTGGGTGGCTGGGCCAGGCTCAGGCATTCCTCCAGGAAAATACACCCAGCCTGCAAGGTTGAAAGCAATTCGGTTCAAGTCCATAAATCAAGTGGCTGTATAGAAAAGTCGGATGGATACTATTTGAGAGACAGAAGATGATTGATGCGCTTACTCAACATCAAAGCTACTTCCGTAATGAGCTTGCACTATCAAGTACAAGCATTATTAAAGGATCATTGTCTTCATTGGATGGTAATGCATTGGGAGTGCCTTTGTCACTCCACTTCTCAATCTCTTTAAAGCCCCATCTGAAGACCTAAAATTGGTTGCTCACTCCATGGCTGTTTGTGGGACACTGCTGTGCGCAACTGACTTTCGTCCCCAAAACGCACAGTCAATCCACTTCATAGTATATCCTGTGAAGCGCTTTAAGGCGTCTCAACAGCAAAATAAGGCGTTATATCAAATGTATGGATTATTATCACCTCCCCAGTGCTCCGCGTCGCTACCCTGCAAGAGTAGTTGTTATTTCTCTTGGCAACTTACCTTACCTGCGTGTATTGTTACTTACAACTGTTGATTTGTTTCTTTAGATGAAGGGGCAGGAGACAACCAAAATGACATTGAAGATCAGGAAAAAACAGAGGTAAACATTTAATATGCAGTACTGTGTATTGGTATGTATCTATAGTTTCCTTTGCATTGGCTACTCCCCATTTATTGTGGGTAAGGTAAGGAATGCCAGTGGGAAGCAGAGAGATGCTTTGTCCCTCTTGACTAACACCCAAATTCACAACAACTTATATAGCGCCCTCCATGCATGGTAGCATCTCAAAGCGCCTGACAGGGCGTTGGTGAGGCGACCATAAGTACGGTCAAAAAGGAAGATTTTTCAGGCGGGAACTGAAAAAGGGGAGAGAGGGGGCAAGGCGGAGGGATTGAGGGAGTGTGTTCCAGAGTTTCGGGAAGTAATGGCTGAAAGCGCGATCTCCAAGGAACGGAGGAGGTTGCGAGAGACAAGCAGGAGGCCAGTGCCAATCGAGCAGAGGCGGTGGTGGATTGGGGAGTGAGGAGGTCGGAGAGCTAGGGAGGTGCCAGGGAGTGCGTTAAAAAAAAAACTTGACTTTGGTGTTTGGTTAGGTAAGCCCAAAATCATCAAATGCGTCGAGGAAGGCCTCCGTAGAGCAAAAGAGTGATGTGGAAAAAGAGACTGAGGAGGAGGAAAAGGTTGATGTGCGAGAAGAGTCTGACGTAAAAGAAACAGCTGCTGTGATAGAAGAGATGGAAGGAAAGGTTGACGAGGAAGAGAAGGTTGACGAGGAAGAGAAAGTTGACGAGGAAGAGAAGGTTGACGAAGAGAAGGTTGACGAGGAAGAGAAGACTGACGTAGAAGAGAAGACTGACATAGAAGAGAAGACTGTTGACGAGGAAGAGAAGGTTGATGAGAAAGAGAAGGTTGACGAGGAAGAGAAGACTGACGTAGAAGAGAAGACTGACATAGAAGAGAAGACTGATGTGCAAGGAAAGACTGAAGTGGAAGGAAAGACTGAAGTGGAAGGAAAGACTGAAGTGGAAGGAAAGACTGAAGTGGAAGGAAAGACTGATGTGGTCAAAAAAACTGCTGTAAAAGCAACTGCAAGTGATTCAGTGTCTGGTTGGACTGAGTATGAGCAAAAGAGGTAGGAGGACGTCTATTCTGTTGTGTTTTATTCGTTAATACGATCCTTCTGCCTGGGGTGTCCTGGCCAACAGTGTGTCCCTCCAGCCCCCACCCCCACTGCCTGGATTTTAAAAAAAAATGACTGTTGTATTTGCTTTCCTCTGCAAACGTACAGTGTCACACACACATCAGCCAAAAAAATCCCGTGAAGCGCTTTGAGACATTTCGCTGTGATAAAAGTTCATATCAAATTATGTGAATAATTGCATCCCTGCTCGCGTACCAAGGCAGGATTGATTGTTAAGCGTCTTGAGATGTCTTCCCGTTGAGAAGAGACACATGTCAATGTGTGTTGTTTTAACAGTAGTGCACAATCCAAACCTAGGAAGCCGGTACCAGTCACCAGTGCAGCCCAGAGAGGCTCCAGTGGCCACCAGGTAGGATCTGACTTACTTGCTTGCTTACTTAGTTGTGGAGTCCTGTTGCTCAGTAGATAGAGCGCTCGCCTCGCAAGCGAGAGACCTGGGTTCGATTCCCGGGCAGGGCGAAACCTTGAGCAAGCTTCCTTACTCCACGCGCCTCTGTTAACCTAGCAGCAAGTAGGAATCCAGTTGTTAGTCGATTGGCAGATCGCTTTCCTGGGGGGTAATAATAATTCCTTCAAAAACATAAAATAATAATAAATTGGTCACTTCCGCAAAGAAATTCCATTAACCAAATGAGTGTACTATTCAGTGAGTTTTCTGGCTAGCTTTTGTACCGTTGCTCAATGACATGGGATTTCAACCATGTATGCCGGACGAGTCACACAAGGTTAATTCAGATGAAGATGGTCCTCTTGGTGCATTTGATCTCATGCTTCCGAAACACCCGCCCGAGCTCGGGCTGTTCGTTCATACCAGTTGCTCACGTGTTGAATTATTATTATTATATTGTTGCTACTCTTATATCATCTTTTCTTGCAACAGGCTCACGTGCGGAAGCTCCAAGCCATCGAGAAAGAAAATATTCTGATATTGGAAAGACTGGCGCGAATAATGACTCCACGCAAAGGAGGAGCAACCTGGAATGACTACAGCCTGAAAAAGTAGGACGTTTACTTTATCTTGTCTTTCGTGTTCTCTGGTCGCTAGATCTGGTGTAGAAGATGAAGTTCTCTTGACTCTTGACTCAGGAGATGCTTTTCGATGTGCAAAGCACTCCGAGACGCGTGAAAGGCACTATATAAAAAAAAACTCGAGGTGTTGTCGACGTCGTTGCTTTTTTTGCAGAGACAGACGCTGTCTGCTACCTACTTGCTGTTGTTGGGGCAAGCAGTCCCATAGCTCGGTGGTTAGAGAGGACCTGGGTTCATTCGATTCTCGGGCGGGCAGGGCGAAAAGTTAGCCAAGTTTCCTTCCTCCGCGCGCCCTCTGGAATATAGCCACTCCAGTAGATATTTGACTCTTTCAAAAATAAAGTTGGTAATTGGACTTGAGGTACAGATCACGAGTTACCTAATACAATGGCGGAACAGGCTCGAGGGGCTGAATGGCCTCCTCCCATGTTTCAAAATATGCGAGCGGTTTTGTTTTCAGTGCTTGAGGGTAAATTGACCCGCGCAATTCATTTCTTACAGAACGTCAACAACCAGTCTGCGGGACAAAGGGAAGTCCAAGCCAAAGGTATGATCCGCCACATCTTGAATTCAGACAAAAATTCGCCCGTAAAAATTTTACAGTCAATTCGCTTTAAGGTATATCCGGTGAAGCGCTTCGAGACGTCTCGAAGGCGTGATAAGGCGCTGTGTCAAATGCAAGGATTGTTATTAGTCTTATACATTATAAAATTTGATATGAAAGCGTTTGCAAAAGCCATGTCTGTGGAGCTGTGGAGAGTCGCTGTGACATTGAAAACCGTTTAATAAACCTTTCTGCTGCTGTTCTCAGTGTGAAAATGTGAACCGCAGGGCACTTGAAGTTCGGGTTGAGCTCCTTTGCCAACGTTTTCAAAAAACGTACACCCGAATGGGACATTGAGTTGTGATTTCAGAGAAGCCCTTGCACTTACCTACCTGCTCTGTGGGTATTTTTTTGTTCAAAAAAAGAAACAAATTGGTTCGCAAGGGGAGTCATACAACATGGCGAAAGACACATAAAGACAGGGGCAGCTGGAGGCATATCAGTCAAAGTCCGTCATTCTCGTCATAGATTTATAATGTTCTATTAGGCAATGTAATTGGTGTTCAGAGGTGCCATCCTTCACATGAGATATTTAGCCAAGCTCCTGTTCAGCTGGACGGACGTTAAAGATCCAGTAGCCTATCCGAAAACAGAAGGGAGATTCTCCCGGTGTCCTTGGCCCACACTTCCATAGATACAAGTCGATCATTCATTTTGTTGGACATTGCAGTGGGCAAATTGGCTGCTCGTTCGGCAACAAATACAACCACTTCACAGTGATTCCCGTGAAGCGCTTTGAGACGTCTCGGTAACCTGATATATCACGTAATATCAAATGCAAGTATTATCACGATTATTACTATCATTATTATTATTATTATTGTAGAGACTACAAATTGTAGTGGATTGTATTGAGAAGACAGCGTTGAAGTAGAACACTTGGGTATTTTTTTTTAGATCTTAGGAGGAGATGTTCATACGAAACTCCTCCTGCTCATGTAGAACGCTTGACAATGTTCAAGCCTTAATTAACCACTTCATCTAAAGATTTTTACCCATCAGCTAAAGGGCAAGAAGGGATCAAGATGGGAACCAGATCCCTTCCTTAGCGCAGGCTCTCCCAGTCCCACTCCCAGTCAGTCCCAGCCAGAGGATAGATTTTTATGCGATCATGGATATTGCTCCGCTGGTCAAGCTGTGAAATAATCAGTCACCAAGTCCCGAAATTAAAGTGTATTTTTTTTTTGGGGGGGTGGGTGGTGTATGGTGGTTGGGTGGGTGGGGGGGGCAGCAGAGTAGAGTTACGGTTGGGGTGGCCGATGTGGAGAAACACACCAACGCCAAACTTGATGGGCTAAATGGCCTGTTTCTGGGCTGTGTCTGGGGGAAGAAACTTCACGGTGGAGAGGGACAGAGATGAATTGGTTTGGAGTCCCAACGCCTTCAATGAAAGAACAGCTCGGAGGGATAGTTGGAGGTGTCGTCAATCGCTCGCGAGAAGTTAACCCGAGATCTGTTCGTCTGTCTGTCTGCCACAGATGCCGCAGCACAATTCCGAAGAAGACAAGGGAATTCGCCTGGGATTGGGCTCAGTATTTTTTCCTCCCCCTCCTCCTCCAAATGCACCGAGATTAACATTGTTTGGTCTCTGGCTGCACTGCTGTTAGTGAGCTGCGTTTGCGGGTCGTTGCTGGCGTATTAGCAGCGTAACAACAATCGTAACATTTCAGGAGTAACTGGCCACCTGAGACCCTCAGAGACATTTCGACGTGTGTTCAAACGCAAGTATTGATTTTATTATATCGACCACAAAGCACCAATGAAGGACTCCTCTATTAAGTTTGCTCTGCTGCCAAACTATACGTGGCCATCCTTGGCAGCTGTCCGCTTTTAGCATTAGTTGGTAATATTCAGGTTGCCTGCGGAACAAATGGTCGTGTCTTCTTCACTTAGCGCATTAGCACCTCAAGTGTTACTGACCTTAGGATCTGTCACAAAGGCATCCCTTTCGCCAGACTAGAATCGGCGATTGGACCTAGAAATAGTCCCCGTTGAACGGATGAACGGTTGAATTGACCGCTGCAGGATCTGAAATCATTTGGGCTCCAGACTACACGAGCCATTCAACAAACGATGGAATAAATCCATTCCCACACCGCTAGGCTTGTCAGTAAAACAAGGGCGTTACACCCCCAAACGATTGAGCTCAGAAACAAGTGACCGAAAGGGAAACATCCTCAAGATCTCAACCGCTTCAAATGGCAGAACTGAGCAGCTAGTAATCAGGGAATAAACTCCAAAAAAAAAAAAGGTTGTGGTTCTCAATGATGAACGAGGGAATTCGAGAATGGTTGTAGAGTTGATAGAGAAAAAAAAAAGGGTTCGGTTTTTTCGGGTTTTAGCAGAAAGTTTCACGTATTCATGTGTGGAATTGACTGTACTTGTTCTTATAGGGGAGAGTTCCGTCCTTTCAACAAATTGAAAGTCAAAATATTCAATTGCTAGAGAGACTGGCTACAATTATGACTCCTCCTGTATATGGACACAGCTGGCGTGAATTCGAGAGCAGCAAGTAGGAAATTGGTTTTGAATTACTTTCTCCTTTTCGCTGATATCCAGTTTTACTGCTTCTTTTCCTCTCTCCTTTCCTTTCGTATCCACTCGAAGGGGAACGAGCCGACGTCATCTGTCTTGGCTCAAAAAAGAAAACCGCTTTACTGGGCTTGGAGAGAGGTTGTCGAATGCTACTTTGCCAAAGCTAAGAGATCATGACCTACTGAAGGAAGGTTTTAATAGCTGTTGAAGCCACTGACAGACATTGCTCTGTTTCTGTCGGTGAAGTAAGTGCCTTTGGTGATCTGATAAGGTTGCAAGAGATTTTTTTTAAAAAAGGTACCTGAGCACAAGAGCGAAGGCAGCCATGAGTCAGTGGAGGCTGGCTCTGAGACCAAAGTGGAGAGAGTGGCAGGCACTGGATGGTTAAGTTAGACTGTAGATGTGAATTAAGAACCCTTTTTGCGACGGTAACTCTTCCGTCTGAGTCTGTTGTAAAAAGACCCAACCTGCTGGCAGTGAGAGCGAAGCATCTGGAGACCAGAGAGAAAGAGAGCCAGAGTTTTTCAGGGACTAGATTTATGTGTTTTTTTGTGTATAAAAAAATGTTAGATTAGAGACACTGCAGAGACACATAGAAAGGTTTCTTTTCACTCGATGAGTGCAATGTTGGTGAGTCAGAGGGATGGCCGAGGTAGATATAACTGTTTGAAAGATGTAGACTTGCTTGTGTCTTAGCTTACTGGTCAGTCAGAGTAAATTTGATGCATTGATCTGCATTGATCTTTTCAATGGGGGGGAGAGAGAGAGAGAGTGAGAGAAAGGCACCCAGAGATAGTTTGCACGTTGCGAGTGGATGGCCGAGCCTTTTCAGTCATAATTAATGGCTGGTAGACCTTTCAACCATTTATCCTCTGAAGCAGTCTTCCAAAGTCTCCTTGCTTTATGTCCTCTTTCTCTCTCTCTCTCTCTAGCTCACCGTCAGAACACTCATTAAAACCTCTCCCCCTCAATTTGACCATGGTTTTGGTCAACGCCATTAAATCTTCTCTCTTGCCCCACGAACAGTTCTTATAAATACAGTGTCTGTTAAGAGCTTTGTGCTATCCATCCAATGTGAAAGATGCTGTGCAAGTCTGCAAGTCTTTATTATTGTCGACCGGCTGAACACTTGATGACAATTAGATGGTTTGGTCATCTCCTAGCTCAGTTTCCCAACCACTCCGGCCCCCCTCTTTTACATCTTACTCTTATTATCTCTCACTGCAGTTTCCTCTGGTCTGCACCATGTAACTAATACACAGAGACAGACCACTGCAGGCAGTGCTATTTAGAAACCTCAAAACAAAGAGGAATGCAGAATACTTAGAAGGAGTGAACAGTTGGTTCAACCAGGTTATTCTCTGGTACAGTAGGTAGACTGTTACAGACAGGAATGTCGCCTCAGTGATGGAAACCGTTTGACCCAGGTAAACTGATCTCTTCTAGATTACTCACCCAAAGAAAGCCAGACAGGTTACCGAGAATTTCCCAGGAGCCTAAGAGCGTGTTATACCGCAAACCTCAACCTAAAGTACATGAGGTAGGATTTGACCCACATTAGATCTCAAGGCAATTCTGACATGGTTTACCCAGTACGTTAAAGACCCAACCCCCTCCCCCGCCTTTCCTCGCTCAGTTTTTCTTGTACTGAACCATATCGCTTTTATTTAGCTGTTCCAAACACAGATATTTTACATCTGTTGGTCCCCAGCCCCTCCCCGCCCTCCCATACTTCCCTCTCCTCGCCTCCTCCCGCTCTGACAAGTCTTGTTTGGGTAGAACACAGCCGCTTGAGCACGCAAAATATCCCGTTCGTTTCTCCATCGAAACAACAGTGCTCGGAATAATAATCCTGGCGCATGATTCAGCGCTGTCTCACACCACTCAGGCGTCTCAAAGAGCTTCACAGAATATATTGTAAAGCAGATGGATTGACTGTGTATTTTAAACAATTGATGTCATCAAAAACCAATACTTGCACTTGATACAGCACTCTCACAGAGCCTGCCGCCTTGTAACATCTCTCTTCGTGTAGCGGAGTCTTTTTTTCTCGGTGGTGGGGGGGGTGGGTGGGGGGTGTTGAATGATCGAGTTCGCGTGATCAAAAGACTTCCGCGTGAATCTCACTCAATGGATCACGCTTTAAGCGTTCCAAGCGCGTGGTTAAGTGCCCACTTATCACTCCACGGCGCACACATCGCGATCGCACGGATTTTTAATCCAGTGGTGCCGTTTTTCACCACGCCCCGAAGAGCGTTTTCACGGGGCGGGGGGGGGTGGGAAATCATCCAACGGGGTCTCCCGACCAGCCCGACCCGACCCGGAACCGAGCCTCTACGAGGACGGATGGATCTCGGCAGCCGGGAGTGGAGAGAGAAGATGGAACCCCGAGAACCGAAGAGGCAAAACAGATCGCAGAGCTGCCGGAAGTTCCGATCGCCTCGCGTTCGCCCGCGCAATAAGAACACCGGCCTTGCATTTTGTCGCCGTGTCCGTCTTCCACGTCGGGAGGAGGCCTCGAAGCGCTTCGCGGGACGTACAGTAAAGTGTAGTGACTGTGCATTCTGCAAGGGGGGAACCCGGCGGCTAATTCGTGCTGATGCCGCGGTTGCACGAGATATTTTCGGTTGCAATCCAGTTTTAAGGAGAACGTTTGCGGGTTGGTAGGAACGACTGCGAATTTTGTTTGATGTGTCTATTTGTCTTTGCAGTCGTACGAGTCGAAATTTGTCAAGCTGGAACAAGGCAATATCGCCATTCTAGAAAGACTGGCTGCAATAATGACTCCCTCAGGGAAAGACAAGTAGGACACTCATTTTCCGTTGCTCCTGGTAGCATAAATTGGGTTAATCTCCATCGGGACTTTCCGCGTAGGTCACTTTACAAGCCTGTTACTTTGAGTAATTGACTTGTTGACTGAACAATTTGATTTCTTGCCACGCAAACTAGGGGGACTCAAGTCAGTAAGATGCCAAAGATCGCACCAAACAAGGGCGTCACGTGCCACCCACCCAAAAATCGGGCTCACATGAAGGTAGGACCTCTTTCCCGCAGTTTCGAAACCAAACCCGATCCGATTTGAGTTTATTTGGCAAAATCGTGTAAAGATAAAGCTTTCACCGCTGTTCTAGTTGTTGGCACATTGGATCTTTGCTTCGATAAGTGGAGTGAGTTTAGGTGAGTGTTAGATGGCACAGTGCAACTCCTTCGAATCAGGCTCCGCCACTGTTAAGCGCTCTGAGACCCGACACTGCGCGGCGGGAAGGTCACTATGTAAGTGCAAGTTGTTGTTGTTGTTGTCGTCGTCGAAGCAGGATGTTACCTGCAGGATCTCAATTGAACCAAAGATTGTGCCCTTCCCACAATTCAGTCGAGTTTTCATTCTCACAGAAGGCAAACTAAAAATGTTGGCGTGCCATCCACATCAGGTCACCACCCTCGCATTACATCGCACGCGCACACACACACACACACACACACACTACTTGGATGCACGTATTCGTAACGCACACGCACACCAGCGGAATTGCATAGCAGACTTCAGTAAAGGAACTATTTCAGATCCCATCGTTGTGTTAATAATTATCGCCAGTGACAGCTGGCACATCCTCCGTCACAGTTATCTCACCCCCGTGGTTTTCTTTTCTTTTAAAAACAGAGCACAGTTGACATAGACGATCTGGAACAGGGGAATATTCTCATTCTGGAAAGGCTGGCTAAGATTATGGCCCCTCCTCCAAGTGGTCCCAGCTGGAAGTACTATGATCCCAAAGGGTAGGACATAGAGTATTCAGAGAATTGAGATTCCCACTGATGGAAACTGGGTTAAAATCGCCCAAACGTTTTTCACGTGGGACCTTTATAACCAGGAACCAAGAGGACACTTTGGCTAACATTATTATTATAATAATAATATTAATCCTTGCCTTTGATATAGCGCCTTATCACATCTTTGAGATGTCTCAAAGCGCTTCGAGGGAATCTAATTACCGATCGGATTCAAGACCGTAGCCTCAGCCTTTGGAGACTTAAACAAAAATATTTTATTTCTTGTCATTTATTTCGCCTGTGTGCGTGCGTGTGCGGGGAGGGGGCGGGTGGCGGGTGGCGGGTTGGTGAAGAGGGAAAGGGTTGTATTACTTCGATGACGCAACTGATTTCCTTCCAGGACCAGGGGAAGACGAGCCAATGAGTTGCCAAGCATATCACACAATAAAAAGGGTTTGTTAAATCAGAGTAGCATGCGGAAGTTGCAGTACACCACCAAGGATCAGAATGAGATGTGGAAGGTAGGATCAATGCCCAACAGACACAAAGCCAGACTTGTGCCTGAAGTTAGTTGGTTAGGATTCTCTTAGGTACCAATCTCCCAGTCTAGCAACGTTTACCAACAGTTAGCAGATTTAGGGGAGGGGAGGTTTTTCCTGATGCAAGTGTTCGGCTCGGCAGAGTAGCCGAGTAACGTACTGTGGGCGAATACTGTTCTACAGTAACTCCTGATAACTCAACCTTGGCTTAACTTATCACTGCCACTTAATTCATCGTTGTTGTCAATATCCCAGTCGGATTTATTTACGTGTTTATACACATTTCTATCGCTGCTCCTGATAATAATAATAATAATAATAATCTTTGCATTGGATATAGCGCTTTATCACATCTTCGAGACGTCTCAGAGCGCTTCAGGGTGATGTGACCACTCGCGACTGAGGCCGCTTTGCCTTGGAGTGAGGAGTTATCAGGAATTGTACTGTATTTCAGATCACACGGTGCGATATTACGGTCACTTGTTTTATCCGGCTGCACAGTCCTCCCCAATATTTTCCACCCAAATTCTTTGTTTGGCTGGGGGAAGGCGTGTGCTAGTTGAGCGAGATGTAAAGCCATGTCCCAGAGAATAGCTGATGCGTAAAAAGTTAGGCTTGCAGGCGAAGTAACGGTGACCTTCCAACATTATCCTCCCAAGTACTGTTCCGTCAGTACCAGAGAATCATTTTGCCGCTGGCTTGATTGATGGTCTCACCTGCCCGTGAATCAGGATGGTTTTGCCGGCTGGGACGATTCAACGGCAACAACAACAACAACTCGCATTTATACAGCGTCCCAGAGAGCTCGTTCCACAGACTGAAACCACAGGTGCCACCGAACGGATTCCCATCCTCGAAGACGTCATTTCGTTTCGTTCCAAAGGCACTTATTTTTAAACAAAGAGGGCAATCCACTCAGCGTCATGACTCCTGCCTGCACCCCGCCAGTCGCAGAGAAGAATGGTTCATCGGAACGGCGAGAGTACAAGACTTTTGCCCTCCCCCCCCCCCCCACCACCCACTCCTCTCTCTCCCTACTTTACTGCGGAGATGTCCCGGAACATGACAACTGTTGGGAACTACAGGCTCTGTTGCGAAGAAGAATGAGGTTTACGGACGCGTTAGAATCTCACTTCCTACTCGTAGGACTTTGTGGCCGCTGTGTTGAACCTTACGTACTTATGCTGGGCATGTCTAGCGCTCAAAGCTACCTGTGTTTCCTTGCTTAAGATTTGTTTCGAATGGGTTTCTTGCAATAGCAGAAAAAAAAACCAGTAGAAAACCCCATTTTGGGGTTAAAATACCGTTGGCTCGTAAACTACTTGAACGTACGGTACCTGTTTCACACGTGATGTCTGGAATTTCTTTTAACGTTCAATACAGGGTAAAAGAAGATGAATGCCGTGTTGGGTAAACAAGTTACAGCAAATGTCTTAAGTGTCTCGATCTTGTTTTGTATTTGGTGTTTTAAGAGCAGGATATTTGCACTTTAAAAGTTATTCTTTTAAAAAAAAACTCACCCAGAGCCAAGAGAGCGCGTGTTAAGGGTCATTCCAACCCATTGATGTGCTCTGGAACCAGTGTGTTTATTTACCCAACTCGCTGGTGGTGCTACATTTGACACAGCTTTGTAACCGGTTTTCTTTCCAAAGAGCCTGCACAGACACGACGGGCCGAACGGCCTCCTTCTGTGCTGTATAATTCTATGATTCAGTGGCCACGTGAGGCTTAACCACACTCCGCATGCCCCACGCCTTCACGTGCAAAAAAAAAGCTTTTGCTCGCTGTTTGCAACGCATTTCACTTGTTGACGCGTTGAACTTAGAAACCATTCCCTGCCCGAGGATTTCTAAGGGGGGGGGGGGGGTGGTCAGTCCTCTTTGGAGAGAGGTGAGAGGTTCACTTAGAATTATTACAATCTCCTGGCAAGCGAATGGGTCTGAATGGATCGCTCTTTCAAAGAGCCGACACAGACACGAGACACCAAACGGCCTTCGTCTGTGCGGTACCGATCTGCGCCTCTATAGGTTACGGTGTTCAAAATGGGGACATTCGTAGCGATATATATATTTCCAACGACACATATTTTCTGTCATTTAATCTACAAAGGATTAACGTGTTACTTACTGTTTAATGAAGTCCAATGTTGTTTTCCAGGATATCAATCAGAAGCTGGCCCCCGCCCCTACTCAATAGCCAAACCAGGGAGCTCACGATAACTGCACGATAAGGATTTGATAGGAAGTTGATGTTAGAGACCGCAAGTGTTTGCTGTTAGGCGTGCTTTTACTTGTACTGTATTGTACTGAGCATTAACGCTGTGTTTGTGCATGGTAAATAAACTGCTGTTAATCAAGCTGTTCATCGTTGCGACATCGCTGTTTTATTTCGCTTTGTGAATGATTTCTCTCGCGTGTCAACGTTCAGTTGTTCTTGAACGCCTAGAGGGGGTGGTGCGGGGGGGGGGGTGAGGAGGACTAACAAATCAAACATAAACTCAGTGTCCTAAACCATATGGACCTTGGTCTTCTTTCACTTAGCAAATTCTTATGTTCAGTGCATCCAGCGCATTTGACAATCCGCTCTCACTTCCGCATTGCCTTCTGACGATTCATTCACTTCAATCTATTTGAAGAAGAAGAAGAACAACAACAACTACAACTTGCATTTATTTAGTGGCCTTTCATGCAGGGCAGCCCCTAAGAGGGCTTAAAAATATTTCCCGTGGTTTGCTGAGCCCTTTGCTTGCCAATGGCCCCGCTCCTCTAAAGCCCTCCAAGTCCACTGTTGACCGCTACCATCCAAATGCCAACCCGTCACGAGAAGCTCAAAGATTGTTCGTGCTTTGACAAGTTTACACCCAGGAACTGACGCCCCTCTTCTGTTTCGTAATAGTCTTGTAAGGTTCACGCTACATTGAGGTTTTCAGGGGAACGTTAGAACAAGCTTTCTGCTGGCCTTGGCTGGACCTTAAAGCCAAGATGAGGAGAAACCTTAGTTCAAAAGAAAAAAAAAGATCTTCCACCCCGATTACCGCTCACTGACTCTCGTTTGATCTCTTGAAGAGTGTGAAGCAATAACTACAGACCTTTATCTGACCAAATCTTCACAGAAACTGGAACACGCTATGCTTCAAGGAGACAATAAATGCATTACCCCCAAGCAAGCCAGCCCGGTGATGTTGGCCAAATCAAAGAAGAATCTAAGTCTCAACAAGTAACTATCAGTTTGCTGTCCTCTCTGTTTAGCCGTTGATTGAGTGAAATCATTTCAATCCTTAAAGCTTTCCAAAGCGAACCCACGCCGTTCATTATCCCCTCTCTCCTTCATTTCTTGCAGCCTGAACAAGAACAGAAAGTTACCGCAAATTTTGCAGAGGACGCCCACGCGGTCACAGAACTTCAATAGGTTGCAGCGGTCAAAGGTAGGATCGCTCAGAAATTTCGCCCACAAATATACGGTCAATTCACTTTACGGCGTGTCCTGTGAAGAGCTTTGAGACGTTGAGAAGATGTGAAAAGCGCTATGTCCTGTAGCTCAGGGGTTAGAGCACTCGCTTTGCAAGTGAGAGACCTGAGTTCAATTCCAGGCAGAGGGCGAAACCTTGGGCAAGTTTCCTTACTCCACACAGAGCCTAATAATAATCCCTCCAAAACCAAAAACAATAATAAATTGGTCATTTTCAATCTACGACTGTTTGTGAGACATTGCTGTGCGCAATTGGCTGCCGCGTTCGCCCACAAATATACAGTCAATTCACTTTACAGTGTGTTCTCTGAAGCACTTCGGGACGTCCTCCCGACGTGAAAAGCGCTATATCAAATGCAAGGATTGTTATTATTATTATTATTATTATTATTATCTGTCTTTTTAAGCCTTGCATTTTGATACAGCGCCTCATCATGTCATTCAGACATCTCCGAGTGCTTCACACAATATACTGGAAAGTGAATCGACTGTACATTTCTGGGCGAAACACAGCAGCCGATTGCGCACAGCAGCGTCCCCCAATTTTTGGGGGTCAGCCGGGTGTCTGACACCCATCACCAAATTTAAGCGTCTGCAAACCAAGAATCCCACCTATACATGGCAATCCCAGAGATAGATTCTTGGAATGGAACGCACTCTCTCTCTCTCTCTCTCTCTCTTTCTCTCATTCTCTCTCTCCCCCTGGAGGGACACATCCTGCTTACCTAATTCCGGAAAGTATTAGGCGCAGGTTGGCAATAGACAAGACTTTTTTTTCCTTGTAAAACTACCCTTTCTGGTAATCCCGTTAATTACTCTTTAGGTAAACAAACACTTGCTGGTGCTGGTGAAATTGCCTTCGCTGCCCTGAACCCACCCACCTCCCTTGTCCTCTTGCCTTGGGTTCTGGGTTTTACTCTCTCAAGCTCGTTTCGAATCTGGAGTCGGTGCCCTAAATATCGAGTCGTAATTCATTTGCGAAAATTGTCCGTGCATTTGTTTTGATAGTCACAACCGGTGGACATCGAAGTCATTGAGAAAGGGAATGTTGCTATGCTGGAAAGACTGGCTGCTGTAATGGTTCCTTCGAAATGCAGCAGAAAGACAAAGAGGTATAGGATATGTTTTTTTGGACAGTTACCCGTAGAGTTAGCAGAGGAAAACAAAAACTAGGAGAGGAAGCGTGTGGAATCCAGTTAGCAAATACAGTAACGCAAATTAGATACTGGGATATTGGGCAGTCTGAGTCTGTTTGCATTTTGATAGTGACTTTTGACTGGGCAAGAATTAAATGATAGTTTATATACAGTTTACAACGACAACAACAAAATTACATTTGTATAGCGCCTTTCACGTCGGGAGGACGTCCCAAGGCGCTGGACAGTCAGCGTTTTGGACCGGAGCTGGGGGTCGGGATCGGGGAGGGTGATCGAAAGCACGGTTGAAGAGGAGGGTCTTGAGATGGGTCTTGAGGGAGGCAAAGGAGGAGGCGAGGCAGAGGGACTGTGGAATGGAGTTCCAGAAGGTGGGATCCGAGTGGCTGATGGGACGTGAATTTTAAGGTTCATAACACATAGGAACCATACTTTCGTTTTATTTCCGCACTTGCCTTGAGAGCACCCAATTTCTTACAGGCTCAACACGACTGCTTCAGAACCGCAGATGCCAAAGACTTTGCCAAACAAGTGTTTGCCCAAACCACTCAGACTCTGGAGACCAGCCAGCAGCGTAGAGGCTATGAGGAAGGCCGAGTTGTCTAAGGTAGGACCTGTAAGGTAGGTGGGTTCCCGTTAGGAATGCACGCCAAGTCCTGGAGGCATTCTGAGTAAGAATGGAACCACTGAAGTGCAATGCAATGGAGATGGAGATGAAGGAGAATGGGTATCCAAACAGGTAGTAGAGTTGTCGTGTGTGTGTGTGTGTGTGAGTGAGGAATGATTGGCACTGAATATCACGCTGAAATTGCTGGTAACTTTTTCCGAAATCTGAAACCATCGCAGTGGTCTTTACTTTACTTCCTTCCAACTTCCTTTTGAAATAATTTTGCCGACCTTCCACGAAATAAATTCTACAATAAATTTATTGGTCAGTTGGCCATTGAGCGTTGGGGACAAATTGAGTCCGTGGAGAGGGAGGAATGAACGCAGATGGAAAATCCAATCTCACTTCTGACGGCACGATCCTTGAAATGCCAGACATTTGTTTTAACAGAAAAAAATCAAAGATTGTACAGCGGAGAACATCAACGTTCTGGAACTGGACAAACTAGTACGACTGAAGCCTTCCCTCCCACAAACCTTGTCCTGGAATGACATTAAAATGAACAGGTTTGATCGGGCTCTTCTGTACACCTGAACAATAATAATCCTTGTATTTGATACAGCGCCTTATCTCGTCATTGAGATGCCTCAAAGCACTTCACAGAATAGACCGTAAAGTGAATTGTCTGTATATTTGTGGGTGAAACGCGGCAGCCAATTGCGCACAGCAGCGTCCTACAAACGGTCGTGGATTGAAAAGACCAATTTATTATTGATTTTTTTTTCTTGAGGGATTATTATCAGGAGTGTGGAGTAAGGAAACTTGCCCAAGGTTTCGCCCTGACCTGACCTGCCGGGAATCAAACCCAGGTCTCTCGCTTGCGAGGCGAGTGCTATAACCACTGAGCTGCAATGACTTTCATCTTTGCCTTGAAATGAGTTTGAGTCTTTTCCCGAAGTTAAGGTTAAATAATCCAGGGATGATTCTCAAAGAGCATTGTCATTGCCAACCCCAGGGGAAGGTCCACACCAAAGATCTCTTAACGACCCCCTGCTTCTCCTATTATTATGTTATGGTCAACAGTCCTTCAGATAAATTGGTCTTTCAGCTCACGTTGGGACCTTGTTGATTGTAAAACGACTCGCTGGAAGGTAATTGCTGTGAGGTGCATTTTGACATTGTAGGAGTAATGAAAGTATAAGTTCCTTTTCGTTTGACAGGTTGACTAGAATTTCGAATTTGCTTTATAGCATCCGGAGGATATCGTCAGGACATTCCCAGGAAGTGGTACTCCAGAGGCCGGTCAGTCGTTCAGAGATTCAATTGGAGATCCAGAGGGTAGGATCCCAGTCCGTGTTAAAGATCAAGCACGATTTGGATACAGAAACACAGATATACATTATATACGTATATATATGTGTGTGTGTGTGTGTATAAAAGAGAAATTCACATAGGTCATAGGTAGTGCAAGTATTAAGGGGTTATGGCCAAAGGGGTGAGCACTGGGATGAAAACATTGGCCAAAATCTAATAACCTGGTGGAGCAGGCGAGACAGACTGAATGGCCTCCTATTTTCCCTGTGTTCCTGTGATACAAATCCCATATCTGGTAAACTTCTGGTGTACTGCAGGATCCCGCTACACCGGTGTTGCGTCCGGATTGAAGCCAGTTTAATGGGGTCTGGTTGCAGAGCTCACGAGACGAATTTACTCCCATTAACCCAGTTTCTCTGTGCACCGTGCTTGTTTCCACAGTCTGGTGGACTAGACTTGGAGGCTATTGAAAGGGCCAATGTTGCCATGCTGGAAAAACTGGCAAAGATAGTAGTCAACCACAGAGGTCGAAGCTTTTTGCCGGAAATCAAGATATAAAAGGTAGGGCGTGAGTTCCTTGGTTTTCTTCACATGCCATTATCGCACACTCTGATCCTGATCCGCTGCTCTCTCCCCATCGTGTCTGTGCTGGGGCTCGCTCCCCCCACTGGAGCTCTCTAATCTAACCCCATTCCCTCTCTCTCTTTCTCTCTCTCTCTCTCTCTCTCTCTCTCCCCATCGTGCCTGTGCTGGGGCTCGCTCCCCCCACTGGAGCTCTCTAATCTAACCCCATTCCCTCTCTCTCTTTTTCTCTCTCTCTCTCTCTCTCTCCCCATCGTGTCTGTGCTGGGGCTCGCTTCCCCCACTGGAGCTCTCTACTCTAAGCAAACGTTCTTTCCCCCCCACCCCCCCACCCCACCTCCCACTTCCACCCACAGGATCTCAGCAGCAATCTGACCTCTGATGCCTGCTCCGTTTCATTGCACAAGCAAATGTGACAAGTAAAGAACACTCCAAAAAAATCACGGTGAACATTAAGGACCAGATGAGAAGCGTGTGTGTGCGTGTGTGTGCGTGTTAATTAGTACAATCCAGAGCCCAGTGTTTGCTGTGCTCTGTATGTGCTGCTTTCGACCATCTATCTCTGCTTGTACACGGGGCCAATAAATGACAAGTCATCCAACTACTTGCTGTTGCGTTGAAGTTACTTTATCCGGGGAAACGTGAATATTTTATCCTTTTTATTCCTTCACCCCCCTCCCCACACCCCACCCGCAAAGGGCGAGGAAATTGTCACCCACAGAAGCCCCGAAATTCCCGAGACCAATAATAATAATAAATATTAATCCTTGTATTTGATATGGCGCCTTTCAACATCTTTCTCACTCGCTTTGTGACTGTTTTGGGGGGGGGGGAACGTTGGCTGCGCACAAATTGGCCCCCGCTTTCGCCTGCCTACAAAATACGCAGACGCTACGCTTCGTAGTAAAAAATCCCGTGAAGCTCTTTGAGATGTTTCGAAGGCACGATGAGGTGCTAATTCAAATGCAAGGATTTATTATGATATCAAGTACGAGGATTATATTCCTATAATATCTCAAAGCATTGCCTCACATGGAGTTGTAGTGTTTTGTAGGCCACCGAGCAGGACAATGTATAAACCGCAACGTCTCACAAACAGCCATGAAGCGAATGGCTATTTTATCGGCTTAGGACACCAGGAGCAAAAATCCCTTCTCTTCTCAACTGGTGTTTGCGAAGTCTTTAACCTTGAACGCCACGCAGGAGACACCACCTCGCCACTGGACGTCTCATCCGAAAAGACGGCACCTCCGGCAATGGAGTAGATCTCAAAGACTTTATCCATCCCCTTTGGCTCTTTATACGGCCTTTCCTGATATCACAATTTATCCATTGATCTCGTGTGCTGCATTGACGATGAGGATACAGCAGAAAAGCAGTCGCTGACGTCACAATAGCGTTCATAGCAACCGGCTCAAAGCACTGTATTAATGATGCACTTTGCAAATCCTTGGCGTCATTGTGGTTGAGTAATCCCCAGCGATAACATGAGTGTGGTGGGCTGTTTCCTTGTTGGCGGGAGATATTCCACGTGCAAAGAAAAATGGGAAACACATCCACAGTTCGTGAAACACAGGAATAAGGTGGAGACCGGTTAGTAAAATGTTGGGAAATTTCCTACTGATGGACAATCTGTAACAAGCTGTTGCGCCCATTAATGCACAGTCGCTGCACTTCACTGTAGAGCCCTGTGAAGCATTTCCAGGTGCCTCGAGGGCATGATATAAGGCTCTATACAATAATAACAATCACGTCATAGAGACGTCTCAAAGCGATTCACAGGATATACTGTAAAGCGGATTGACTGTATATTTTGCGGGCGAAATAATAATAATAATATCCGTATCAAATGCAAAGGTTCATTATTATAATATATCGATCGATGAGCTTGTTGTTAATTCTGGAGGCGGGGGGGGGGGGGGGGGGGAGTGGGGTGGGTGGGCGGGGGGGGGGTGTGGAGAGACAACGTTTCGAACTGATGGCTGACACGGATATCCTGGGCCTAAAATTCCACCTGGTCTCAGCCTGTGAGCACAGCCATTTTGTCTTAAAATTCGTGAGTGTGGAAAATTCTTGCGTTCAAGAATCGCTTCTTCACTGAGTCTCAGGGTTTTGGCCTCACCCGTCGTCCTGCTTTGTAACCAGTTCCAGTCATTAATGAGCCGCTGAGTAAATAAATACTTTACCCTTTACCCTGAAATTGCCCTTTGCAACTCCGAACCTGCTCCCACTTGCTGTTCTGCCTCTGGGTGTCCGGGCGTGTTGTCAAAGTGGGTAAAAGGCTCACCTGAGGATGTCTCGAGAGCTTCAACGGACTGAACACCAACCCTCCCATTTGGTGTTTGGAATGATGTTCCGCGGTACTCAGTCCTGTGCATGTGCTCAGTCATCAGTGAGGTGGGGGTGGGGGGAACTTTCAACATTGCCTCTTGAGCAACTTTCTCTTGGAAAAATAAACCTTGCGAATACATAATAATAATACCATTATTATGCATAATAATAATAATAATCCTTGCGTTTGATGTAGGGGCTTATCTCGTCTTCGAGACATCTTGAAGCGCTTCACAGAATATGCTGTAAAGTGTGTTTTGTGAGCGAAACGCTTACAACTTGTTGTTCTTGTCGTCAACAACGCTACGCAGCGGCCCTTCACCCAGGGTAGTGTCTCGGAACACTTGACAGTGAGGGAACACGACACTGATCCGAGGGGGTGGAGGAGGTGGCAGTAGGAGCTTCAGCCTTGATCTGGAAATGGGGAAGGAAGGAAGGGCCGTTTGCGGGGGGGGATTGAGGGAGAAGAATTCCAGACTTTCGGGGGGTAGTGACGCTAGAACGGAGGGGCCAGGGAGACGTAGGAGGCCGGAGTCAGCCGAGCGGAGGTGGCGGGTGGTGGTGGTGGTGGTGATGGTGTGAGTGGGGGGGGATGAGAGGCGGGTGGGAGAGGTAGGGAGGTTGCCAGGGTGTGAAGGGATTTGTAGACCAGTGTGTGGATCTTGAAGTCGATCTGTTCCGCGAGAGAGCCGGTGAGGGCTGGCGTGACGGGGGTGCGGAGTTTAGAGCGGGAGACTTCAGCACTTTGGGGTAGTGTGTGTGGAGTTCAACCTTGCGAGTTTCGACTCGGGCTGACAGCGATTTATATCTTTCACTTCTGCAGCGGAGAGGACCATAGATAGCAGACTGTATGTGGATCCTCAGATGAGTAAAACGAGCCCAAGGAAACTGCAGGTGAAACTATCTTAACTATTTGTGTTCGTTACCTTTCGGAATCGAAGGAGTATTTAAGTGACGCCATAGCAATCCGTTTACACTCTACGTGAACCAAGGCAGTACTTTGTGACTGGTCATTGCTCAAAATGTTCCTTCGTTGAGGACGGTAACATTTTATTTTACGCATCGTTAACATGGTAGCAATAATAATCATATAATAACGATAATGATCCTTGGCTTTGATATAACGCCTCGTCATGTTGTGGAGGCTTTGATATAACACCTCATCACGTTGTTGAGGCTTTGATATAACACCTCGTCACGTTGTTGAGGTGTTTCAAAGAGCTTCACAGAATATAGTGTGCAGTGGAATGTCAGCCCGGATTATGAGTTTAAGTCCGCACCTTGGAACTGAACCCACAGAACTTCTGAGCCAGAGACTGGAGTGCTGTACAGTTATTTATTTCAGTGGAATTGAGTGTGCTTATTTTTCAGATAGAACAACAAAGACTGGCAGCTATTAGAAAGGAGAACGTTAAAATAATCAAGAGAATGGGACGCCTCCTATACTCCGGGAGCTCCTTCTGCTGGAATGACTACAAGCGAGAAAGGTTGGTTATTTTACCGTCTCTCTGACCATTGCAGCAATTATCAGAAGCCTGGGGTGTGGTCGCAGCGAAGCCCCTGCATTTAGCCACCCGTACAGGGTTGCGAGAAGACCTGGGTTCGATACCCGGGGGGAGGGGGCGCGGGAAACCATAGGCAAGTTTCCTTACTCCACACGACCCTGTTCACCTAAGCAGTAAGTAGGATCCTGATTGTTAGTCGATTGGCAGACCGCTTTCCGGGGGTAATAAACCTTCCCAAAAAACATTTGGTCACTTCAACCCACGACTGTTTGTGGGGACGTTGCTGTGCGCGATCGGCTGCCGCGTTTCACCCACAAAAGGAGTGCACGTGTCGTGCCGAGAGTTTGGTGCCGAAAATATCTAACGCAGCGACTGATCTCTCATAGTTCGAAGAAGGAAGTACGACTAAACGAGATGCAAAAGATCAAGGCCGAGAACTTCAAACTTGCCAAACGCCTGGAGTACCCGAAACGAAAGTATTTGACTGACCCGAGCAAGCAAGTTTATAAGGTGACAATGAGAGAGGTTCCAGTCAAGAAAGCCCTTCAGCCCATTTCATACAATACTACTAATAATAATAATAACCCTTAGATTCTCGGAGCGTAGTAGTCAGAGCACTCGCCTCGCAAACGAGAGTCCCTGGGTTCGATTCCCGGGCAGGGCGAAACCTTAGGCAAGTTTCCTAACTCCACGCGCTTCCGTTTACCTAACAGTAAGTAGGAACACGGTTGTTAGTTAGTCCATCGATTGGTGGATGGACCGCTTTCCGGTGGTAATAATCCCTTCAAAAAAAACATTTGGTCAGTCAATCCATGACTGTTTGTGGGACGCTGCCGCGCACCATAGCAGTTTGTCCCACAAAATCCACTTTACAATACAACCTGCGAAGGGCTTTGAGGATGTCTCAAAACTCTTCGCAGGACATAACCTGAATCTGTTTGGTATGATTTTTCCTTCTGTAACGGCTTTCTTTTTTTTCTTCCCGTTGTAGATCCCAACACGAATGCAGCTTTGCCAATGAAGGACGGTAAGCTTTCCGCTATTTAATAATAATAAGAAGAATAATCCTCGCATTTGGTATAGCGCTTTTCACATCGGGAAGACGTCCCAAAGCGTTTCACAGAACACACTGTAAAGTGAATTGACTGTATATTTGTGGGCGAACGCGGCAGCCAATTGCGCACAGCAATGTCCCACAAACAGTCGTGGATTGAAAATGACCAATTTATTATCGTTTTGGGTTTTGGAGGGATTATTTTGCTAATGATTTTGCTAATAATTCTCCCGAGGTGAAAGGCGTAAAATAAATGTAAATTTGTAGGGCGAGGTGATTATTATTAGCCAGCTTGCACATCGCAGAATATTAGTATAATTATTAATTATAATTATTCATAGCGGAATATTGTTATAATTCTTATAATTGTTAATTATTATTGCTATTAGCCAATTTGTACATAGCAGAATGTGCCTGTTCAGCAGGCTGTTTGCGGAACGCTGCTATGCTATTAGTAAATTGGCTAATCATAATTAAATTAAATTAAATTAAATTGAATTTAATGATTATCATTATCCAACCCCCAGCTCGGGTCCAAATCCCTGACCGCCCACAGCGCTTTAGGACTTCTTCCCGCCCGTGAAAGGCGTTACGCAAATGTATGTTGTTGTTGTTGCGAGGGATGAGATCAGATGGGCCAAAGGGGCTCTTCGACGCTGGGATTTTCTTGTGAACTCTCTTTCACTTTGTTGCAGGTGCAGAGACTGACCCGCTGTCCTAAAATAAATGCCAACCCGTTGCCCGGCCTAACCATGCTCTCTTTCCCGCTGTGTCCAGTTTACCGAACGCATTCCAATAAAAAGCTCACCTTGTCACTGACGGAATCCAAACCTTTAATATCCCACCATCATCTTAGAAGCAAGATAGACCCCCCCCCCACCCACCCCCTCCACCCTTCCCACTTATCATCTGATGTTACCAAATCTAGATTTTATTCTTGAAAAGAATGTTTAAACGACGAAGTTTCCAGTACATTCCTTGTGAATCTGCAGAAATTTACCGTGCGAAAAATTATATTGCCTTTTAAAAACAAAAGAGTCAAATTTCTTACGCGCTTCTTTTTTGGTTGGTTAAGAACATGCTCTGGTGTGGGGTTTTTTTTTTTTAGCGGAAGGGAGGAAGAAATCACGATAGACTGGGGTTGATTCCGCACCTGTTTGGTTGTACAGTAGAGACGTTCATTCAGATGGACGTTAGCGATTAATGGGTTAGCGCGGCGAGATTATTAATAATAATAAGAATTAAAAAGAAAGTCATAATCCTCGCGTTTGATGCAGCGGCTTTCATGTCAGGAAAGACGTCCCAAAGTGCTTCACGGGATTTTACTGTAAATTGTAAACCTGGCGGTTAATTTGGACACTGGAGTGTCCCATCAACGGGGACACACAAACCCGTGTGGGTCTTTTTGAATGCGCTGTATATATTTTTGGGAGGTGGTGGGGGCTTTACGGAACCCTGAGGGTCCAACGACTTGGGACGTCCTCCCAATGTGAAAGGGCCCCCAATGTGAAATGATTGCTGTATTGACATAATTTGTTGTCGTCCAACTGAAAGCGATGAAGCCCTCTGGAACACTTCCCCACGTGAAGGGCGCTATATAAATGCAAGCTGTTGTTGTTATCTACAATCACCAGGTTTTGGTGCCCTTTGCTCAAAGTCCCCAACACTGGGGTGGGGGCTTGAACCCACAACCTTCTGACTCGGAGACGAGATGCTACGGACTGAGCCAGGCTGGTAAAGTCTCATCGCTTATTACTTGTCAGCGTGTTTGTGCGCGTGTGTGTGTGTTTGTGTGTGTGTCTGTGTGCGTGTGTGCGTTCCTTAACACGCTTCGGAAGAGAATGCCAAAACGCCATCCTGCTTTTGAGTGCCTGACGGAACAGAAAGTTGGTCGGAAATTGACTCCATCATCTGATCAAAGAGCTTTTCTGGGGGTGGGGTTGAGGGTGGGGGCAGTCGGGTGTCTGACGCATGCAGAAGGCCATCCTAACCGTGCTCAAGCGTCTCCAAGCCAAACTGAGAATTCCATGCATCCCAGAGATAGATTGATGGATTGGAATGGACAGCGCTCTCTCTCTCTCTCGCTCTCTCGGTCTCTCGGTTTCTCTCCCTGGAGGGATGCATCCTGCTTACCTAATTCCGGAACTAAAGTAACAGGCAAGACCGAGGCTTAGGGGGAGGGGTGGGAAGCCCAGAGTTTGCGTTGCGGGTAACTGCTGAAGTCTGACCAGCGAACAAAAACATATAGCAGGTCCTTGACAAATGACAAAGAGTTAGAGTGAGTTGAGCTTGTGTCTGGAGGAAGATGGGAACAGAGTCTGGCGTTGAGTTGTTGGGTTGGGTCATTGGTTATGACTGGTTATGATCGGACCCAGCTGACTGGCACCCACAAGGTCTCCTTTTCTATATTATCAAGGGTGTGTTTTAGTTCATTGCAGGCGGTTTGCAGTTCCCCTTTCACCAGGATCCGGTCGATCAGGTGCCCGTATCGGTGTTCAATATCCTCTGCCGTCTGAATCATCTCCCGCTGCTCCTCTTCCTGCAATTGAAGAGACAACTCTCACACTCGTCTGGCGCTCGGTAAAACCTGACCCGCGGTAAATCCCTCCATCGGTTTCCTCGGTGCTAAAGGGCACAGGAAAAGCGTGAAGAAACACTGCTCTGTTGATAACGTGAGAATTTGCTGGATGAGAGAAGACCAAGGTCCATCCAATTCGCCTTCCAACCATCATGGAATCATAGATTGTTACAGCGCAGAAGGAGGCCATTCGGCCCCATCGTGCCTGTGCCTGCTCTTTGGAAGAGCCACCCAATCAGTTCCCACTCCCCCACTCTTTCCCCATATCCTTACAAATACTTCCTTTTCAAGTACCTAATTTCCTTAGATCATGTCCCAAAATTTGCTCCCTCCTTCCCTTACTCAACATCCAATCCCCCCTCACCTCCCATCCCCCTCGCCCTCAACCCCCACCCCACCTACCCCGCTAACAATCTCTGTGAAAAATCTAGTACTCTCTTCCCCTCCTGGGGGGATGGGTGTGGGGGCTGGGGTTGGAGAGGAGGGGGCTACACACGGGTGATGGACTCACGGTTGCTATCCTTGCCATCTTTTCCTCCGGTGTTTCATCCGCTGACGGGGCGGTCCTCATCTCCTGGATGAAGGGCTTGATAAATATCACGTACGGCTTGAATTCCGGGGTCCTGAGATTCTTGATGGTCTGTAAATGGAGCAGCGAAGGCAAGCAGCAGCTTAGGTTAGGTCCGAGTATTGAGGGTAACTGCTGGAGGGAGTCTGACCAGCTCAAACCACGGTAGCTCGCCATCGAGAGCGCTGTCTGGCAAGCAAGGGTTCCCACTGCTCGTCCAGCTAGGACCAGCCCTACCCATTAGGAGCTTTGGCGTTCAGGGGTAAACAGTGCACCACAACACTAAATTACGTTTGCACAGCACCTTTCACGTCGGGAGGACGTCCCAAGGCGCTCACGGAAACTCCCAACGTACACAATTTACGCAGGGTCTCAAAGCCGCCACCTTTAGGACACTTACCTGGGCTGTGCGTCCACCAGGCAGATCTTCTTTTTCAACTGAATAGTCCGGATGGAATCCACAGTGATTCCGTACAGATTATTGTTGTACTCTCCGTGCTCGACAAACCTGAAGCGAGAAAGAGATCAGGTCTCAGTCCCTCTCGGTCTTCGTTTCAAACCCACGCCAACACCACCCACCCCCTAGCCCCCCCCCCTCCCACATACCCCCCCCCCCCACCTCCTGTACTTCGATCACGCCACCCCCTCTCTCCTCCGAGACTCTGCCATACCTGTTGCTCTGAATCTCCGCCTCGAATGTCAACTTGGAGAGAAAATGGTACTCCACCCCTTCCCTCTCGTGGACCTTCTTTTGCCGAGTTGTGGCTGCATTCGGGCAAAAGCGAGAAGATGAGGGGAAGGTTTTAAACTCACTCCACCGATGGACCTGATACTTGTCCAGCTGGGATCCCCCAACCCGGACAATTTAGGGTCTTGTTTAGGTTAACGGGAGCGGACTGAGCGGTGAGTGACAGCAATGAGCTTAAACCGGGTTGAGAAACTGAGGTTGAGTTCAGTGTTGTCATCATCAATCATTGATTTGTCGAGACGCTACAAAGAGCTTCGCCGGGTACACTGTAAAGTGAAGTGACTGTACGGTATGTGGGTGAAATACCCCATCTCATATCTGGATATACCTCACCCTGGGTCTAGATTTACTCTATTGATGTAGGATCCCAGAGGCGGGTGTGGGGGTGGGGGTGGGGGGTAAGTGGGGTGGAGGGGGGCACGGGGTTGGGAGAGATTGAGAGAAGGTCGGAGGGTTTAAAACAAAAAGGTGGTTCAATTGTCAGTCGCACTTACAGGGAACTGCCACACAATAGCGGTTTGGATTCTCCGCGATCAGTTTCTGCTTCATTTCGTTAATCTTCGCCCCTAAGGAACCTGCGATAGTAATAATAACAATAATAATATAATAATCCTTGCGCTTGATATAGCGCCTTATCACGTAACACAAGTGGAAAGTGACCAGGTCAGACCCTGCCCCTCTGCATCAGGTCAACACCCTCTTAGTTACAATGAGCCTGCATATTGGTTGTCCTTTGCCCAGTCTCCTTGCTTTAATATAATCCAATAGAGACTTGCTAGTCCTCTGCGGTGAGGGAAATAAGCGATCAATAGCTCAAATTTCAGGCCCGGTGGGGCTTACAGGCGAAGATAATGTTCGGTCAGACAAAGTGTCTGATACACGTGGAAACCCGTCGCTGTGCTTAAGGGTGTCCAAACCAGAGTGAGAGTTCCATGTATGACGATTACCCACCCTTGGAAATTGCTATGTCTGGAATGGAATGTACACTTTCCTCCCCCCCACCCACCCACCCCTCCCACACACACACACACACACCCCCACCCACCGCCGCCCCTGTTCTGTGCACCCTACTTCCCTAATTCCATAGATTATTTAGATGCAGGTTGGGGAGAGCCAAGTTTGCATTGTGTGTATGTGTATGTGTGTGTGTTTGTGTGTGAGAAGTGGGGGGGTAACTGTTGAGAGTTTGAACAGATAAAACAGGGGCTAAGACTAGGTGGAATTTCAGGACCAGTGGTCTTATGGGCTAATACTGGGTGGAAATTCAGTAACAACAACAACATACTTACATTTGGTTAGCGGCTTTCACGTCAGGAGGACATCCCAAGGCATTGGATCATCTGGTGGTTGGGATGAGGAGGAGGTGGAGGGCATGGCGGGTAGGGGTAGGAGGGTGATCGAAGGCCACGGTCGAAGAGGAAGGGGTTTGAGACGGGTCTTGAAGGAGGCAAGGGTGGTTGGTTGATTGGTTGGTGGGGTGTGTGGGAGAGGCGGAGGGACTGCGGGATGGAATTCTAGAGAGTGGGGTCAGACACCAACAAGTTGTGTTTATATATAGCTCGGCTCCTGTAGGGTAGGGTAGCGTCCCCAAGCGCTTGGCTTCAGGCTCTCGGACGAGGAGCTGTGGGTGATGCGGTTAGTGAATGGGGCTGACGTACCAACCAGGACCACAAGCCTGTGGTATTCAGTCGGGCGACGGTGATACCGAGTCACCTCTTCGTAGGTGGGAACCTCCAGCAACTCCTCGGGCTCTGACATTTTCGCCTCGCTCTGGTTCACCCGCCTCTCCTTCCGACTCAACCGGAAACTTCTCCGCAACCCGGCTGAAAAGTCAAATGGCACAGGTCACGGAGGGAGACAGCGCAGAGACGCTTTTGGCCAAACGCTGAGTGCTTTCTGAGGCCGAGACTCTTAAAATATCTGGCGCGGATTCCGTCAAGTTATAGAGTCATAAAACATTACGGCCCAAGAAGGAAGCCATTCCGCCCATCGTGGCCTGAGCCGGTTCTTTGGAAGAGCTATCTAATCGGTCCCGCGCCCCCCCCCCACCCATCACTCCCATCCCCGCCGCTCTTTCCCCGTATCCTTGCAAATTTTTCCTCTTCAAGGACCTATCCAATTATTATTATGGATAAGTCGGTAAAACCAACTTTGGGGTTCATAGGAACAGAAGGAGGCCATTCAGCCCCTCGAGCCTGTTCTGCCATTCTGTTAGATCATGGCTGATCTATACCTCAACTCCAATTACCCGCCTTTGCCCCATATCGCTCAATACCCTGACCTAATAAACATCTATCTGCCTCAGTGTTGAAAATTTGAATGGATCCAGCCATAATCCACAGCCTTTTGGGGGAGGGAAGAGTTCCAGATCTCCACTCCCCTTTGCCTGAATAAATGCTTCCTGATTTTCACCCCTAAATGGCCTCGCTGTAAATTTAAGACTATGCCCCCTTGTTCAGATCTACTCCACGTTTTATGCACATTACTGGATAACAGGGTGTACAGAAATGCACTCAATTTACACAAACCTTGGTGTTTTATTTGAAAAAAAATGCACAAGAAAAATACTAAATAATTACTTTTGTGTGTAGGTCAGAAGCGAAGGTCCAGCAAATCAATAAGACAAAGCAAATAGGAATATAGGAATTGCTAGACAAAAAAAAGACCAAGGTTCATCTAGTTTGCCTTCCACCATCTTGGTAGTCGCTTGCTTGACAGTACTGGAGATGTTGATGGCAATTATTTCTGTATGGATTAGTCTACAACAGGAGTGGAGAGCTTTGGGAAACTTAGATCCAAAGTTGCCTGGTTCTCCCAAGCACTTACTGTATGTCATGTCTCAAATGACTCATGCAATGTATCCCCAGATATTATTTTCCAAACGAAAGAAATAATATTTCAATAAGTAAACCAAAAAACTTGACAATTGTGGGACTTACGACGGCAACAAATGACATTTACACGGCACCTTTCACGACAGGAGGACGTCCCAAGGAGGTGGACAGTCAGAGATCACCCGAGCTGGGGGTTTGGGATCAGGAGGGGAGGAGGGCAGGGAGGGTGGAGGTAGGAGGGTGACCAAAGGCGCGGTCGAAGAGGAGGATCGTGCCTTGAAAGAGGCGAGGGAGGGAGGGAGCGAGGTAAAGGGACTGTGGGATGGAGTTCCAAAGGGTAGGGGGGGGGGCAGAGAGGTTGAAGGCCCGATCGTCGATGGTGGGGCGGGCTGGGGACGTGAAGCAGGCGGGAGTTTGCTGAACGGAGGGAGAGGGCGGGTTGATATGGAGTTAGCAGGTCACAGACACTGATGGTCAATTGGAGTCCAAGGAACAGTTTCCAAATGTGGAGACACTCGACTTTCTCTGTGACCCGGGACCTGATTGACCCAGCGGGGGATTGATTGAGCTACATGACGTGGATCAGCTCGAGTCGGAACTCTCACCTACGTGAAGCCCATTGAAATATCCATCACAGTCACAGTCCTCTGCAGAGATAGGCAAGCAGCAGGTGGAAGCAGAAGGAATGATCAAGATCAGAGAGGAGATAGATCTGCCGGTGGAAACAGCTCAAGTGATTGACAACAGCAAATCCATGACAAGTCCCTGGCACCTCTCACCTGAAATTCCACCCTGGCTTAGCCTTAAGACATCGAATTACACAGTCACACTGCGCGGAAAGAGACCATTTTTGCCCCAAACCCACATCCCTCCTGTTCCCCTCTCCTCAACCCCTCTATTCCCCTTCTTTCTCACACATGTGACAAGTTTCCTCTTGAATAACGGCGACAAAATCACATTTACACAGCGCCTTTTCATGTCGGAAGGACCTCCCAAGGCGCTCGACAGTTAAGGGTTTGCGTCCGAACCGGGGGTTGGAATCAAGAGGTTACTATTAATAATTATTATTGTTATTAAAAATAAGTTGATGCTTTTCTGCCTCAACCACAGTTTCCGGCAACAAGTTCCACACCCTCACCACCCTCTGCGTGAAGAAGTTCCTCCTAAACTCTGATAGATCTAATGGTGGGAGACTGATGGATAGAGGGGGAGAGGCAGAGAGGGAGACAGAGAAGGAACTATGCACAAACCAGGGAGAGAAACGGGGGGAAACAGGAAAAGAGTAGAAAAAGGTGGGGGGAGGCGGCGAAAATGAAAGAGGGAAGCAAAGTAAATATATTTCACCGATTTTTCGCCCACAAAATACACAGTCACTTCACTTGACAGTATATCCTGTGAAGCGCTTTGAGGTGGTGAGGCGCTGTACCGAATGCAAAGATCGTTGTTATTATTTTTCTGCGGCAGGAATCTGGAATAAAACAATATCTGAAGTCTTTGCAAGTTCCTGTTCTTGTCTCCTTTGTGCGGAGGACTGTTGGTTAAAGCGAATAACACGGCGGGTGGGGGGGGGCTGCTGCGGGGAGTGTGTGTGGGCAGTGGGGGGTGGTGGGAAGACATAGTCGGAGAATAATAATAATTAATGCCTAGAAAAGCAATCTCCAACAGAACCTCTATGGCACAGAGCAGCTGAGGCTGATTAAACTGCTCACCTCTTCGCCCCCACCCGCCCTCGCCCTCACCCCCCCACCCCCACCCGAACTCTTTGCTGCTCTGTAGCCCAGTACAGAGCCTGTGCGTTATCCTCGGAATCGATCACAGCTCCGGATCGTCAGGCAGGGAATTTTTGTCCTGCAAATCCCAGAGCCCCCGCTTCAGGAAACCCCGATCGGAGTTCCGTAGCCGCCGTCTTTCTGCAGAAGTTGTTCGATCGGCTGTTAACTTGGAAGCTCTTTAAAAAGACACCGGCTTTCCAAATTGCTGTTGCAAATAATGCGAATGATAATCCTTGCATTTGATGCAGCGCCTTATCGTGTCTCAAAGCGCTTCGCGGGATGCACTGCGAAGCGGAGTGACTGTGTGTATTCGGTGGGCCAAACACGGGCAGCCAATTGTGCACAGCAGCGTCCCCACCAGCAGCTGCGGATTGAGTGATGAAATTTTTATTTTATTAATTTTTTTTGAAGGGTGTATTACCCCCGGAAAAGCGATCCACCATTCGACTAACAACCGGGTTCCTACTCACTGCTGGGTCAGCAGAGGCGTGCGGAGTAAGGAAACTTGCCTAAGATTTCGCCCGCCTGGGAAATTGAACTTGCGAGACGAGTGCTCTAACCACTGAGCTACAGGGCTCCATGTCTTCGTCTCTGAGAGGTCTATCCTTCATGTACCTGTCTACTTCCCTCTTCAAACCCACAATGAACTGTGCGACCAGTCTCGTAAAACGACTCTGTTTGACACAGTACTTGCATTCATTATTCATTATTATTCAGTAACTCTAACTCGTGTCCGATTTAGACTGCACTGGTTACTTACCTCTCTCGTTGGCTTGTTCACCTAGGTAGCGATGGAGGAGGGTGGAGGGGGGTGGGAAAGAAAGGACAATTAATGATCATACCTGCCGGATTAATTCACAATTCACGGAGCTTATTGTTTTTAGGGTTAGCGCTGGGTGTCTGACACTCACGGAAACCCATCGCGTGTCACCCATGCGTTGGGATTCCTGCACTCTCTCTCTCTCTCTCTCCCTCTCTCTCTCGCTCTCTCCTTCTCTCTCAGAGGATGAGTTTCATCGGCTAAAAGCGTTCAGTGTGTCCTTACATTGTGTCTGTTTCATTTCCTGCTGTTGCTCCAAAGCCATTGCTCTCCTGTGCTTAAATCGGCTGAAAGTAAAACAAGACGAGAGATGAAGGCAATGCAGTTAGAGAGCGGAAAGGGCTGGTGTTCCCCTCGGCCTCAACTGTTTCCTGGAACCCGGCTGTGCGCGAACCCGCTGCCTGCGCTGGCCCACAACCACGCACAGTCACAACGCTCTGAGATCAATCCGATGGGACGCTGTCGTGGGCAATACGCGGTCAGTTCACTTTACAGCGCGTCCCGCGAAGCGCTTTGAGACGTCTCGAAGAGGCGGTGAAGGGCCCCCGTGTCGAACGCGAGGATTATTGTTAATATTATCACGAAGCACTTTCGGAAAGGTCCTCCCGACCAAACCGACCGCGAGGACGGACGGCGACTTCTAAAACGATTATCGGCGATAAAACATAGGAGGAGGTTTGGGCGACTTGAGGCACAGGACAGTCGATGTGAGGTGTTCGTTGCTGTTCCCCTGCGCCCCCTTTCCCGATCGCTGAACGGAGCACCCACCGCTCTTCAAACTGCTTCGACGGGATCAGTCCAGCTCGGAGGTTCGTATTTCCCACACGCTTGGCTTGCCACCACACTGCATCGTCCCGGCTCACGACCTGAAGGATGTTAAGCTTCCTGAACGGGAGTCCTGCCTCCTTGCAGGGTATGGCTTTGTCCTTACTCGGGTCGTAGTCGAACAAGGCTCTCATGTAGACCTGTGCGGGGATATGGGAGGGGGTGGGAGTTGGGGGGTGGGTGGGTGGGTGTGGGGGCCAATGGGACCATAAGTGAGAATTCCCGTGTGGACCTTCGAGGTGTTTGATGTTAAGGGCGCTCTCCTCGCAAGCGAGAGAGAACCGGGTACGATTCCCGAGACAGGGCGAAACCTGAGGCAAGTTGGCTTGTCTCCATCCCCCTCCCACCCCCACCCCACCCTCCCGCCACTCCTCCTTTATTCTTCCCCCAACACCCCCCCCCCACCCTCCCTCCCCACGCCCTCACCTTGCTCTCTTTCAGTCGATCCTCCTCCTTGAGCGCCGGGATTATCTTCAAGGTTATCGAGCCCTGGCACTGAGCCTGGGGATGGGAAAACATCCAATACACAGAGTGAGTCTGTGTCCACAATGTCCGGCTCGGACGTCCCCACTCTCAGCTAAAACTGACAAGGGCTTAAGGGCTGTTGAGCTACATAGACGGCGATCGAGAGACTTTTGATTCGCGCTGTACAGCGGCCTTCGTGCGGCTCGTGTCTCTTGGGCTTTTAAGCTTACCAGGATCTGACTGATTTCCTCTGGGCTCTTGTTCTCCACTGTGATCCCATTGACTTCTCTCAGTTCATCACCAACGTGCACTAAACCTGGGGGACAGGGGGGAACGTGAGATACGGAGCTGAAAACCAGTCAGGAGAGCGCGAGCGGAACTGACCCCCGAAGGACGGAGACTCGTTTGGTTCGAATGGTGCCCAATACGGTGGGGTGGGAGTGTAGGGGGGGGGGGTGGGGGGTGGTTTGGGGGCAAACGTGACAGACACTCACCGCTGCGATCGGCTGCCCCACCCCTCATGATCCGCGCCACCACAACCGCGCTGGTCTGCTCGTCCATCCTGATGGTCGCGCCCTGCGGGTGGGATGCCCGGGAGGGTTAGGGCGGGTGGGAAACCAGAGGGCTCTTTTTTTCTGACCTTCCAAACTCACCCGCCAACCCCTTCCACCAAAAAAGACCTCCACGCCACCGTTCGCTACGTCAATACAATTAATAATAATAATACTAATAATTATCCTTGCATTTGTTACAGCGCCTAATCACGTCGTTGAGACGTCTCAAAGCGCTTCAAAGGATACACCGCGGAGTGTAGTGACTGTGTGTTTCGTGGGCGAAAAGCGGCAGGCAGCCAATTGCCCACAAACAAGTCGTGGGTTGAAGTGACCAATTTATCATTTTATTAACGGTAATTATCCTTGCGCCCGATACGGTTACACAGATTTCCCCCTCCCCCAGTCGTGTCTCAAGAGTGTGGTGGACCAGGCCGGAGCCTCACTGACCAGTGGCTCCTTGTCCTTCACCAGACGCACGATCTTCACTGATTCCTCCTCCTCTTCCTCCCCCACGTCGTCAGGCATCGGGGGCAGCACGGGGTCGAAGGCCTTGCAGGCGACTGTGTCGTGGGCTGTGAGCAGGGCCTGCAACAACAACAACAACAGCAACAACAACAGCAACAACAGCAACAACTTACATTGATATAACGCCTCTCACGTCGCAAGGAGGTAACCAAGGCGCCAAACATTAATAATGCTAATAATCACAACAACAACAACAATAATAATAATCCTCGCATTTGATACCGCGCCTTAATACCTCGTCGAGACGTCTCAAAGGGCTTCACGGGATACGCTGTAAAGTTTCGCCCACAAAAATACACTTTACAGGACATTCTGTGACGCGCTTTGAGATGGCTCGACGGGGTGATGAGGCGCTATATCAAACGCAAGGATTATTATTAATATTATTATTACAGCAATGTCCCACAAACAGATATGGAATGAGTGACCAAATTTCAGGGGGGTGGGGGTGGGGGATTTGTTGGCCAGGACGAGACACAGTGGCCTTATGTATCAGCAGAGCAGTCGCTATCGAGGTGCATCCACACGGGGGTCACGTTTGAAGTGAATCCCACCCCATTGCCTATTCCAGTCGTTAATTCCAATTCTCCGGAAGGGAAAGATTCCTTTGGGAGATCCCTTGACCATCGCCAATGACCTGCGCTCAGAGGTCAGAGTTCATGAGAGTGTCCTCAAGTCTAATGGAGTCTGTGCCCCAACCCTCCGCCCCAACCCCACCCCCACCCCACCCCAACCCCATTTATTTCCTTATTAAGAAACAGCGCAAACTGGCCGGGCCTTCATCGCCACAGCTCATTCGCTACCTTCACGTGTGGCTTGGCCAGTAGTTGCAGGAGCTCACTCACGTCGTTGCCCATCGGTCCGTTCTGTAATTCCTCTGAGAGCTACGAGGAAGGTCAAGAGAACAAGAAACGCCCCCAAATAAATAGACGTATTTGACACGGCGACGGAAGTATCGGCGAATTTGATCCACGCGCCAGGGGCTTTGAGCTCACGTTCCAAAGATCTCCACGGTGCAACTCGAAATAAGAGAATATTGTGATGATCGTAACCCTCGCGTTTTGATGCAGCGCCTGGTCACGTCTTCGAGACGTCTCAAAGCGCTCCACTGCAAAGTGGAGCGACTGTGCGTTTTGTGGGTGAAACGCGTGCAGCCGGTCGTGAATTGAAGGGAGTTATTCTCTCCTCACGGTGTCCTGGCCAAGAAATTAACTTCATTTCACGGCTGTTTGCGCGACGTAGCTGTGCGCAAATTGGCTGCTGTTCTTTTTTGCCCATGAAATGCACTTGAGTCACTGAAACTTCACAGTGAAATCCGGCGAAGCGCTTCGAGAAACGAAGTACTTGCGGACAGATGCAGCAGCAAATGTAACCTTGGGTAACTTAAGATGCAATGGCTCACTCCACGAGCTCAATCGACTGTGTCAGGTTCGACCCTTTATCAGGATTACCACATAGCCGCAGTCTCGCCTAAATTCAACAAGCTCAGAATAGAGCTGAACATCGCAACTAAAAATATCCTCGAGTGCGGCAGCAGTTGTTTACCTGAAGCCGGAGATGGGATTTTAATGGACCTATCAGTTCCCTGATCTTTACCCACCTCTCAGTCTCCAGTGGATTTGGAATCAGACTGACATTGGATGGGTTCCTCAATCATGTCAAAATATCTGGGAGTGTTGCCCAGTGTTGGTTGTCATATAGACTGGTGCGAGACCACATCCCATTGCCTCAGAGCGCTTGGGTTTGGGGTGGCGGGAGATTGAGGGGTGGGGGGGGGGGTAGTGGAGGGTAGAGGGGGTGCATTGGACAGGATTTCGGGGTACACCTCCCTGCTCGACTTCAAAGCAATGCCAAATGATCTGAACAGCCGGAGCGGGCAAAGGATGGCATCTCGGCCGATGAGCGATTCCCTCACTGAAACTTAACGCCAAATAATAATGACGATAATATTCCTTGCATTTGATGTAGCGCCTTATCGCGTCGTTGAGACGTCTCAAAGCGCTTCACAGGGTGTGCCGTAAAGTGGAGTGACTGTATATGTTGGGGTGCCAATTGTCCCGCAAACAGTCGTGGATTGAGTGACCGCATTTCTTTTTCTCTTTGGAGGGATTATTATCCCCCACCGGAAAGCTCTCCGCCAATCGATTAACAACTCGCGGGAACCTCAGCGAACCTCATTAGTCCATATTAGTCACAACGCAATCTCAAACCCCTTTCGAGGCGATTCCTCTGCTCGAGAGAAAGAGAGCAGCGGTAAGAGGGGTTGACCTTCCATCTTGATGGCCAACAGAATCAGTCTGTTACTATTCCAAGCCCTTCCTGAAGAAAGCCAGTCCAGGTATCCACACACAACAACACTCTGAGATGCAACGCAACTACTTACTTCATGCACCAGGGTGGCAGCACTGTACAGGGTGGGTGACGGTGTGTGTCGGTCGAAATGCCTCAGTTTCTCATGGATCTGGGAACCAAAATTAATCACACTTACGATTTACATTTAGGCAGCGACTCCCACATTGGGAGGATGTCTCAAAGCTCCTCACAGGGCCTTCCTTGAAAGCCCTCCACAGTCTTTCTCCTCCCTACCTCCGCAACCTATTAAAATCTCACCAACCTATCCACACACGTCCCCCTCACCCCCGCCCTGTCCTCTCCACTATAGGCAGTCAGGCCTTCAGCCTTTCTTCCCCCACCCTTTGGAACTCCATCTCGGAGCCCCTCCGCTTTGCCCCGTCGCTTGCCTCCTGCAAGACCCATCTCAAGAACTTCTTCTTCGACCGTACCTTCGGTCAGCTTCCCTCCACCAACCCCCCGACCCCTCCCCTCGCCCTTGCCCTCCACCCCTCTCTCTGATCCAACCCCTCCCACCCCATTGTCCAGTGCTTTGGGACGTCCTCCCAACACGAAAGACGCTGCGTGAACTGAATTTGTTGTCACTATTCATTTAGCGCCAGATGGGCGAGAGGTGCTGCCGGTCTTCACCTTCATGAGCGAGTTGAAACTCTTCTCACTGAAGACTTCGGTGAGGAAACTGATCTCTTCCTTGAGGTTGGCATCTGGCCTCAGTTGTGCTGTCAGAAGAGCCAGGACCTCATGTAGACCTGTAACAAACAGAGCAAATCCTAAGCTTTAGCAACTTAGCAAGAAACCTTGGCATTATGACCAATTTTTTGCTCTTAAAATATCAGTTTTATCTGTGGAACGTCGTTGAATCTTAATCTGGAAGATTTTTTTCATGGCGTTTGAATTTGTCCCAAATTCTTTCCGACCTTATGACCACTGGTTGGTCATAAAACACCCAGAAAGAAGGATGAAGTGTATTTCACCTTTGAAAGGAAGCCTGTTTACAGGTGAAATATAGACGTGAGGGTTGGTGGTGGATGGGAGGGGAGAGGAGTAAGGTTTTGGGGGATTTGGTAATAACACGTCGCTCGTGCCCCTGTTCATTCTCGAATCGTTTGCACGGAACATGCCTCCTGCTCTCGTTACATACCGGACACCCTCTGGAACTCCATTCCACAGTCCCTCCGCCTCGCCCCCATCCCTCGCCTCCTTCAAAACCCATCTCAAGACCCTCCTCTTCGACCGACTGCGCCTTCGGTCGCCCACCTACCCCCTTACCCTCCCTCCCCGCCCTCCACCCCCGTCCTGATCCCAACCACCAGCTCAGATGCAGAGATCCCTGACTCGGGACGTCTTCCCGATGCGAAAGGCGCCGTGCGTAAATGTCATGTGTTGTTGTTGTTGTTGTTGGATCAATATTCAAGATATTTTCCGTGGCAGGAGATCGCGAGTCGCAAACCGTCATCGGACGGGAATGAGACGGCCGAGGCTTTACCCGTTCCTGAGGAGAGAACCGGCATCTTATCGTCCTCCAAACCGCTGGATAAACGCCGCTCGTTTGCAGTCCGTGGAGGCTGTTGAGGCGAAGATGGGTTCAAATAAGCCCTGAGGACGCAGAGCACAAGAAACACGGGTTAGGGCAGAAGCCGACAATCGCCACCACCCCCGGGTCGTTCACTTCACGGCTGTTTTGCCGCGGGGGAGACGGCGCGGGGAGGGGGTGCGTGTGGGGGTGTGGCGTGCGCAAACCATCTGCCGCGTTTGCCTACGAAATACACAGTCGCTGCACTTTGCGGCAACTACTGCGAGAAGCTTGGCGGACGTTCTGGACGAACTGAACGCTACGTCGAACGCGAGGATTGTTCTCGCGAGGACTGGGCGTGTTGCTCGCTCCCGATTCCCCCGTCGGGACGGCAGATTCCCGGTCGGGTTTGAGTCCCACCTCCATCGGGCTTTTACGCGGAGATGTTCATGTCGCGCTTTCGAGACCGGCTCCTAACGCGAAAGGGGCCGCCACGGGGAAAACACGGAGGGCGTGGGATCGTTGCGCCTTATCATCGCTTCCGACGCATCCCCAGGGTTCCTGTCTGCCAAGGGGAACATCTGGGAGTACAGTACAGCGCGGTCAACGTCCGATTACGTTCGCCAAACTTCATCAGAAAGGAGGTTAACGACAGCGGCAAAGTACGACGCTGACAGCACTCGGCACTCGCGTTGGACGCACAAAGCCGCGTGGCGCCTTTCACGCGGGGAGAACGCGCTTTACGCAGCGTTGATCCAAGCGAAAAGCCATCAAGGTTTACTCCCGTACAACAACAACAGCAACAGCAACAACAACAACAACAGCAACGCCAACGACAACGCCAACAACAACTTGCATTTACACCGTGCTCTTCACACTGGGCAGCGTCTCGGAGAGCTTAACAAGGGTGGAGCTTGACGCTGAGCTGGGGAGAAAGAGAGGGAGAGAGAGAGAGAGAGAAGGGGGGGAGAGAGAGAGAGAGAGAGAGAGAGAGGGGAGAGGGAGAGAGAGAGAGGGGGAGAGAGAGAGGGGGGGAGGGTAGGCGCGGTCGAAGAGGAAAGTCTTCAGGTGCGTTTTGAAGATGGGCAAAGAGGGAGCGAGGAGGGAAAGGGGAGAGAGAGGCAGAGAGCTCCAGAGGTTGGGGACGCAGTGGCTAACGGCACCTAATGTATGTCATGTGAGTATCTTGCGATATGATTATTGCCCTGAAATCACTGTCTGACATCTGTTCTCCCCCCCAACCCCTGCCCCCCCCCTCTCTCTCTCTCTCTCTCCCCCTCTCTCTCTCTCTCTCGCTGTATAAATACTTCGCTGACTGCTATTTCCTCCTGAATCGCTGATTTGTGCTGGGAACGGGGCGGGGGGGGGGGGGGGGCGGGGAGGGGGGAAGGGTTTTTCGGCATTAACCTACGTTTTCGTTTGGTCTGCGGAAAACACACGGTCACCGCACTTTACGGGCGACAGTGCGTGAAGCGCTTTGAGACGCCTCGATGACGCGTTAAGGCGTTGAACCCAATAGCGACTATTATTATTATTATTATTATTATTATTATTATTATTATTAATCAGTATTATTATAAAACCGCTGCTTGGGATTTAAACGACAACAACAACAACAACAACAACTTGTGTTTATATCGCGTCCCGGAGCGCTTAACCGTTTAAAGGGTTGAACGGCAACTTAACGGTTCGTTAGAAGCGACGGAAGGAATGGGTACGAGAGGGGAAGCGAACAGGAATTCATCCCTACCTGAGGCTTTGAGGCTTTTTTTGAAACGAGGCTCTTAGGATTTTTTTTCTATTCGGCTCTGTTCAGCTCTCTCCTTCTCTCTCTCTCTCTCTCTCTCTCCCCCCCCCACCACACAGCCACACGCTCAGATATTTTTTTTTTGTTCGTTCCAAGCGTTACATCCCAGCCCGATGCTACGATGTGCTTCACACACATACACAGCACACGCACACTCCCAAATAAGCGGCTTTAATCTTATTCCCTTCCCTCCCTTCCCTTATCTCCTCTTTCCCCGCACCACCACCCCCCCCCCCCCCCGAACGCACTCCTTGAAACCAATCCCCCACCCCAACCCCAACCCCAACCAACCCCCTTTCTCTTCTCTCCCCCTCTATTTGCCGAGTTGCTCCACCAATCTCGGGAACGCAAATGGGTTCCCTGTGAATATTTAGCAGAGGAATAATTCATGAACAGTGCTGGAGGGTTTGGTTCGAATCAAATGATGGGAGGTTGGGGGTGGGGGGGGGGGGGAGAGAGAGAGAAAGCGAGAGAAAGCCGGCAGGGCTGACCTGACCTGTGTGCGTGTTTGTGTGGCAACATACATTGCACCAGCGGCGGCACAAAGTGTGTCTTGGTGCAATTTCGGAAATGTGAGAGCGGGTGGTGGTTGGAGGGGGGGAGACGGTGACAAGGGTGGGGGGGGTGTGGTGGGGGTGGGGGGGGAGACGGTGACAAGGGTGGAGGGGGTGGTGGGGGGTGGGAGACGGTGACAAGGGTGGGGGGGGTGGGGGGGGGAGACGGTGACAAGGGTGGGGGGTGGGGGGGGGAGACGGTGACAAGGGTGGGGGTGGGGGGGAGACGGTGACAAGGGTGGGGGGTGGGGGGGGAGACGGTGACAAGGGTGGGGGGTGGGGGGGGTGGGGGGGGAGACGGTGAAAAGGGTGGGGGGTGGGGAGACGGTGACAAGGGTGGGGGGGGAGACGGTGACAAGGGTGGGGGGGAGACGGTGATAAGGGTGGGGGGGGTGGGGGGGAGACGGTGACAAGGGTGGGGGGGGTGGGGGGGAGACGGTGACAAGGGTGGGGGGTGGGGGGACGGTGACAAGGGTGGGGGGTGGGGGGGGGAGACGGTGACAAGGGTGGGGGGGGGTGGTGGTGGGGGGGTGGGGGAGTGGTGGGTGAGAGGGGAACGTAGAGGGGCACCAGAATTAAAGCCATATTACTCATAGCTCCTCACGGGGAGATGTTTTGAGACGTCCTGAGCCGATGGTATATGATGGTAAGAGAGCTGAGGAGCGTGTGCGCGCGGGCGCGGGCGCGTGTCGGGTCGGTTCGGGTCGGGTCGGGTTGTGTGCTCGCTCCCGCGAGTTGCTTCGGAGTGTTAGAAGGAGGACAGACACACACCGCTAACCCCTTTCCCTTCCTTTTCCCCCCATTGATTCGCGTCAGGAGGATGTCTCGAGGCGGGAATTTTTCTTTCGACTCTAACTGTGAAGTGTAGTGACCTTGTGTGTTTCGCAGACGGACGAACGCTTTCGTGGGCGTTTGGAAATGCCATCGGCGGAGGGCGGAGGGCGGAGGGTTAACCATTCGAGTCCCAGGATGAATCCACGGGGGGCGCAGAGCGGGGGGGGGCAGAGGTGGGAGGGAAGGCATTGGGACGGGTGCTTTAACCCTTACAAGAACGCAACAGGGAAATGACATCTGTCGTTGAGATGTCTCAAAGCGCTTCACGGGATATGCTGTCAAGTGGAGTGACTGTGTGTTTTTGCGGGCGAAACGCGGCAGCCAAACGCGGCAGCCGACGCGAGCAGCGGCGTCCCGCGAACAGCGCCGCCAAACAGGGAACGCGCACACCCACGCGAAAGGGCATCGAGATGGACCAACACACACAGAGAGGGCCAAACAGCCGTGACATTCCAGCTGTTACTGGCCTGATGTGGAGGGGCTCTGTCCGAGGCAACAATGGGATCAGTCACTGGGGAGAAGCGCTCCTCGAAAACAACTCCATCGCTTAATAATTCTTCCCGTCAGCCTCTCTCCGGCCGTCTGCCCTTTCTTGCGAAAAAGAAAAATTCTTTTGCCATTTTAATTTAAATTGATGATTATGATCGTATTAGCATTCCGGGAGCGGCGATGAACTCTCTCTCTCGCTTTCTCTCTCTCTCTCTCTGTCTCTCTCTGTCTCTCTCTAGCCCAGTGACACTGCTCTTCAATCGCTCAACTCAAACTCTTTTTAATGATCGGGTAATAGCGTCCCATCGTGCAGTGGTTAGCCCCCTCGCCTCGCAAGCGAGGGGGACCCGGGTTCGATTCCTGGGCGGGGTGAAACCTTATGGCAAGTTTCCTTACTCTGTTCACCTGTTTATCTCAGCAGTAAGTGGAAACCAGGTTGTTAATCGATTGGCGGATCACTTTCCGGGGTTAAAAACCCGGGGTTCCTACTTACTGGTAAACACACAATGTGTGTGTGTGTGTGTGGAGTAAGGAAACTTGCCCAAGGAACCGAACTCAGGTCCTCTCCTCGGGAAGGGAACGCTGATACGAAAGACAGTCAGGTAAGTAAAGGAAGCTTCGGAAACCGGAACGGAAACGTAGCGAGATCCCGGCGGGAATAACGTGACTGACGGAAAGACTCCGTTAGATCGCAAAGCCGCCGGAAATATCCGGGAGAGAAATAAAACAACTTGCAGCAGCGGCGGCGGCGGCGGCGGCCGCAGGGGGAAAATAAAGAGCCGTTTTTTAACAACCGGTCCAAAAAAAAAGGCACTGGAGAAAAATTAACAGCGTAGGGAATGAGGCAGAGTGAGACTACATTCATTATTCCAACCTATTGATAAATCCCTGAGCTAACAACCTTGTGCAGGACTTAAATCCATCAAGGGCTTTGTTACGTCACTAAAACTCGGAGTAATTACATTAAAGAGACATGCGAGCGCACACACACACACACACACACACAAAATCCTTCCTCTCTGACAGTCTGCACAGGGCCAAAATATGTGGCTCTGCCATTTATCTTGTTCATTGCCTTGCAAGCTGTCTGTCTCTGAAGTGCGGACACACTCACCCTGTGTCTCACCTTGATTCACTCGGGAGTCCTTCTACCCTGCCGGTCAGAAGGCTCAAGCTTTCCCTCTTCCCCTCTCCCCCCCCCCCCCCCCCACCTTACCCTTACCCCCTGTTATCACGTCTTCAAGAGCGCTTCACAGAACGTACTGCAAAGTGGATTGACTGTATATTTCGTGGCCAAAACGAGCTCCGAGGTAACAGGGAGCGAAAGCGCGAGAGCGAAAGAGAGCGCGAGAGAGAGAGAGAGAGAGAGAGAGGAAATTCACTGTTCTGACTGAAT